GCAATAATGATTTATTGAAAAATTTATAAATAGAAGTGATAAAGGGTATCACTTATCTCGTATTTGTGTTATATTATTAGAAAAGACGATTTTCCTAGACTGCTTCTGACAATTATCTTACTTTCAATTTACATAAGATTCGAAAATGCCAAAAAAATACAGAACTAAAAGCTTCCAATTGTGTCATTGTTGTCACAAATGGCGCTGCCAATGTCTGGTGCCACGAAAAGAGAAACCCCATCCTCCCTTTAACAGCGGAACAGAGCCAGGTAGCAAAATGGGCTTGCATCCCAAACTGAAGGCGCTTGTGCCAACGTCGCCAGCTGTGGGTTCTTACCATCCTCGACCGATCGATCATAAATCCTTAATTATTAGGTAAAATACAATCCCGATCTATCTCGAAATCGCACAGGGAGTTTCTAATAAGTAGGACAAATCATGTTACAGTTGGCGAAGACAGCAAGAAACAGAAGAATTTTCCGCCGCGATGAGCAGGTTGGCAAAGGAAATTGAGGACAAGAAGAGCATAATAAAAATCGATCGCGGACCCGCAAGTTATGATATACTTCGCTGGCCAGAAAGGCCAGTTATAGACGCTTTAGGCGAACCTTGTAAGAGTTTGCGAATGGATGTTGGTTTCGGGACCGTTCCGCAATTCCAAACGATTTACAAATCCACCACGCCCGGTCCAGGTTGATAACATCATCTTCCGAAAAAATAAATCAAATTATCTCGAGAGAAAATTAGAACACACTTGCTTCTATTTTTCTGCAAGATTAAAACAAAATTTTCTAAACTTAAAAAGGAGAATTTTAAAAGAAAGGTAAAATCTTATTTTATCTTTCTTTCAAAAGTCTCTGAATTATATTTTAATTAACAATCGTTTTATACTCTTATTATATTTACGATTACCTGGTTGACGTCCCTTATCTTTTTAAGGATACACACTGAGAACGCACAATCCCTTTTTCTTTTTGGATCAAAAAAGGTTACAAGATTTTTCCCATACACCTTCATTTGAGTACGACAATTTAGCTCCCAGATTCCGAGAAACTATAAGTACCTGGTCTTTACCATGCAATAGGTAAAGTGAAAAGTCATCTTTTATATTCCACCTTTCTCCCTCTTAAATGTTATTTTATTTTTCTGTTTTTAACATTATAAAAGAATCGATTTTTACAATAGATACAA